AAATGTTTCCAGAGTCCCACCAGAAGTAATTCTGGAATATAATCCAGGAATATCCCTGAACACTGCTGGGTGTGACCCCCAAAAAGCAACAGCAAAACTTCCATTAGTGCTGGTATTAAAACGCTGCATTTCTTTAAGAAACTCCACTAGTTTATAGACTGGCCTCATGAAGTTCAATAATTATGTTCCCTCTATGTATACGGTTCATTCTTTGGAAAACCATGGAGTAAATGTTGCTGCCATTTATTTGCTTCTTTCCAATGTTCATACTTTAAAAACAATGAATATCAAACTGTCTCTTTAAAGGGTCATGTGATGGCAGTTGATAAATGGGAGAGCAAAAATGAGTGAAAATCTTGTCCTGTGTATGGTTGTAAAATCCTTATTCCATAAGTTCTTGCTAACATGATACCTGCTATTACCACATACTGACTGAGGGGTCAGGAGATCAGCATGAATTTAGCATGCGGGAGCTTTATGATACAGGATCCCAGATATAAAATCTTCTGATGGGAATCATGTTCATGAAAAAAGAAATGCCCTGGGGACACTCTTGCCCCTCTTCTCCAAGCAGTTCACAGTTGTAATTGAAGATACTACAGACCTTCAGAATTTTCTACAAGTGAAATGAAAGGCTCAGGGATTCTAGACATGGTACCATGCAAGCATACTTTGAAGACTGGGATGCAATCTCAGTATTAGGAATTCATTTGTATCTAAACCTGTGTTCACTTTTCTTTCACTTGAAGAGTGTTTACAGAGAGAAGCCCCATGTGACAAGCCCCAGGAAATATTGATATTTCTATAGTCTCATTTGGTCTTTGTTTCTCTACAGGGTGTGAAACTCACCTTGAGCAGGTGAGTGGAGTGAATGCAGGTGGGCAGGGATGTGGGTCTGTAGAGACTAACAGCAAGTCCCTCTGATGGCATCTCTGTCTCTGCTTACTCAGGAGTTTGGATAAAAAGCTGGAATTGCCAGAGGCCATCTCTTTGGACCTTCATACTGTGTGTAATGTTTCTGAACTTTACTTTGATGTGAGGAAAGTATTAAAGAGATATCAAGGTAAGTCAAGTAATGTGTACCCTAAATTGTAAGGGTGGAAGGAACTTTACAAGGAAACGAAGTTCCTTAACAGGCTCACAGTCAAAAGGTGTGTTTAATTATTTTCAGTGGAGTGTCACACTCGTCTTTGTCTAACCCAGTGCTTAGCCAGCACCCTAGCATTCTTTTCATGTGTGAAGACTCTCCAAGTTTCTGATCTCCTAAATTTTACTGTATCAGTCCAGAACACTCACCTCTTAACCCATTTGCCTTTTTGGAAAAGGCAATAATTACCAGTTTTCTGTTGAACGGATTGTCATGAAAGTTAAAGAAGTGAAACTGTCTATTGTGTTTATAACATTGTCTGGGGTGACATTTATTTTCTCATATGTATCACTTAGAGATGCTAGAATTGTAGGTGAGGATTATTCATTACACTAAAATGAATTATATTTTGCTAAAAACATTTTAGTAACTTTTGTATCAATAATGTAGAACATAATGTTATGTACCAGCAATCTAGGACACAACTATAGATCTTTTGGACTGGGTGTCACAAACCTGCAGTATAGGAGTTGACTGGGCTATGAAAGCTAGAAGCTAGACTGGAGAAGGCTCTTCCAGGCTAATTCCAATTGAGGTTGGAATCCATTTCTTTATGGTTATCAGATGAGAGGCCTGAGACTTTGCTGGTTCTTCCTTTGAAGCTGCCCTCAGAAGGATCCAGCCATTATCTTACTGTCCTGAGACTCACAATATTGCTAATTATTATTATTTTAAATAATATCTGCAATTTCCTTTTGAATATGTTTAAATCTTTGAAAGGTACATCAGCACACAGACTCTGTTCAAATGCCTTAGCAGCTAGGCTGCTCTGGAATTTGGCTGGAGCCATGCCACTATTTCCATGGGTGTGAGTTGTTTTTCCCTAGATCACTCTGTTTGTTAGGTTTTCCTCTTGGAGGCACTGTGTTCTACTTTACTTTGTACAGGTACGCAGTATCTCTCTCCTGAATTGAATTGCTTCATCGTGACAAAAACACATTTAATTTAAAAAATAGCTCTGTGTTCCCTCTGCTTCTGGAGATCCTGCTTATAGCATAAGTGACTTTGAACCACAGCCTTCCAGGCATTTTTATCATTTAGAAGTTCTGGCTTTAGTTATTTTGCTGCCAAAGCTCAGCACAGAAGCTTCATCCACTTCCTTGGACTCCAAGCTGGCAGAGGATTAATTATTTCTTCAGTGTGAGCTAGAACTTCTCAGATGCTGCTCTTAGAAGGATGTAGTCTCTAGAGAAGCTGAGGTAGCAGGATGTGGTCTTTCATAGTGAAATAGAGGCGTTCCATCCCACTGATGCTGCCCAAAAAATTTCAGATCCTCATTAAGTAATGGCATCTTATTGGAAGGAAGGCAGGGATGACAGAGATGCCACCTTGTCTCTGGTTTTCCACGTGACACCAAATGCACCAATATGAAACTTCTTATAATATTAATGAATGTAGTTTCAGTCTATGGTTTGTTACAGAAGCATTAATGAACTTGATTACAGTCATGGCTTTATACTGTTGTTGATGTGAGCATTTGATTTGATGCAGAAATTTTCATCCATTTTATTCATGTGAACCATCAGTATCCAGAATTGGTTGTTGAAAATGACTGACTTTGAGCACATGCATTGATCAACTTTTAGAATTAGAAAAATATTCTGAATTCTAATACTTTTGACCTTACAAATTTCAGAGAAAGAGTTAATGAGCTGTATTCATATATGAAATAGTATATTAGTAATAGTAAAAGTTGCCCAAGAGGCATCTTTGTGTTTGGTGAATGTGTGGAAAAGCAAGGTTTATGTAAGTCATTTACATATCACACTGAGTTGATTTGTGTACTTTACTCATTGTATCAAATATGTCATGGGAAGCTTGCCAGGCTTTGTCATGCAGGTGAGATACTCTTGGTAGCGTGCCAGGCTCTCCAAGAGGGGTGGAGAAATCAAACTCGGGTTGGCCAGGTCGGCCGTCTGCAAGGCAAATGCCCTACCCACTGTGCTAAGCCTCATCATGGGGACATTACTGGGCCTGCTTGTGCAAATCTATGAACAACGGGAGGATAGTTGACAGTTTACTCATTGTATAGGTATTACAACATGTCCATACTTCTTTAGAAAAATCTCCTAATGAGGTATTACTTGTTCTTTTACAAACTGTCATCATTGACATTTTTCTAAATAGCATAATTTCTAGAAATTGATTACCATGAAAGAGTATAAATAGAAAGACATTAAAAAACTTCCATTTTTCCCCAGTGCTCTGTAAATCACTTCTCCAAATAACAGGGGATAGGTGTGCGTCTGGATTTGTACAAATTTAATTCATTTTATTTATTCTTTGGGATTTAGTATCCCACATGGCAGTACTATTTCTGGTCCCGTGATTGGCAGTATTCCCTGGTTTGACTTGGAACAATCTGGTACCAACCATTGAATTGGTCTGCATGTAAGGCCAGTTCCTTAAGTGCTCACCATGTTTCCTTATATAACATCATTACCTTTAAGCTATCTCATATTGCCATAGGTGTAACATGCTTATCCCTGTGATGGCGCATTGGGCTCTTGGGTGCTACAACAGTGCTGCGGAACTTTCTAGTCTTACAGCCCACTGTCCTGCAGCTCTTGTTTTGAAGGAAATAGAGTTAATGTCAGAATTGCTGTTTGTCCCTATTGCCAGGCTCGTGGTTTGAAATTAGCAGCATGCATTCCCACCAACTATAAAAAATAATAGTAGGGGAGCTGGAGTGATAGCACAGTCGGTAGGGCATTTGCCTTGTACGTGGCTGATCCGGGTTCGAGTCCTAGCATCCCATATAGACCGCTGAGCACCGCCAAGAGTAACTCCTGAGTGAGAGCCAGGAGTAACCCCTGTGCATCGCCAGGTGTGACCCAAAAAGCAAAAAGTAATAATAATAGTAAATAATAATAATAATAAAAAATTTGCCTGTGCTCAGTACTCTATGACATTAGCACAGTATAATATGTTATACCGTTTGTTATCAGTCTTCTCATAGCAATCATTTTTACTGTAAAAGTGAGGAAAGTAAGACCCAAGAGGTGAAATAACTGTTGTATATTGCACCAACAGGAATGGTTGCATTTGAAGACAGGTTGGCTTTATATAAAAGCAAATCATGTTTTCCAGTTCAGAAAAAGCATATTCTTTACACTATAATTTGTTTGTTGATATTGTTTTTCAGTCACCGTGACTCTGGATCCAGAAACAGCTCATGATGACCTATTTGTGTCTGAGGATGGGAGAAAGGTGACTCGTGGTCATCCCCAGAAGAAGCCACACTCTGCCAGCAGATTTACTGCCTTAACTGCTGTCCTGGGTCGTGAAGGCTTCACCTCAGGAAGACATTTCTTTGAAGTAGATGTGGGGGAAGAAAGTAAATTGTGCGAGTTTGGAGTTTGTCGGGCCAATGTGGCGAGAGACTCTAATATGAAGTTTCTCATACAACCTGGCTGGGGATTCTGGGCCATCAGACAATGCCAAGATGACAGAGGCTTACAAGCTCTTACCTGGCCACGAACCTCCCTTCACCAGGAATATCTCTCGGTTGTAGGGGTTTTTGTGGACTATGAGGCTGGACTTGTCTCCTTTTACAACATGGAAACTGGCTCCCACATCTTCACCTTCCCCAAGGCTTCCTTCTCTCACCCTCTCCGGCCCTTTTTTCTGGTCTATTCATCTTCTTCTCTGACCATGTCTCCCCCGGATATGTTGGTAAAGAAGCAAAGTCCCCTCCACTGACTATCCAGGACAGAAATTTTGATGTAAATCCTTATGGACAAATACTTGATTTATATTCTTTACTACTTTTTTCATGCACCAAGAGAACAGGGATGAGCTTTGGATTACTTCATACGTCTGCATTAAATTAAATTATATGAATACTGAAAATATGGCCACCAATAAGCCTGAGGTGAGAGAAAGCCCCCCCAAGACAGTGCTCAAGGCCTCTCCTGTATAAACTGCTTCAACGGATTTGGAACTACAAATGCTAAAAGTTGTTCAGTGAACCCAGCAATAAGAAGGTTTATGTTATATTTTGCTTCAGACCATTTGAACTCTTCGGAGAGGAGAAAGCAGAGGGCAGAAGAGATAGTACAAGTGGTGGGCACTTGCCATACACTCTACCAATATCTGTACCATTGTTTGCATCACATCTCATTCTCCAGGACATAGCCTTGTCCTGGGAGAAGTCTGGAGTGTGCAGAGCACGAATGGGAAGGACTGTTGAAGTCAGGAGCAGGGACAAGGGCAGCATCTTGGCACTTGTGGGGTCTGACTTGCTTATGCCCCAGGCATGGCCTGGAAGTGACTCCCAGAACTGAGTGTGGATCTGACACTAGCGGGACCCAAGAGTGCACATAAACACCCTCGTCTAGCAGGTTCACCTGGGGATTAGCCCACCCAGATTCTTGCTTAGTCAAGAAGACATCAGTAAACTGATTGATCAGAATCAAGACAACATCATGCTCTTTATAAACAGAGCCAACTTCCCGTTGTCAAAGCCTTTTTTCAGTATTAATGTATATTTTGTTAGTTTGATTTACAGGGTTGTAGTCAGAGAACTTAGGATGGGAGGGGGAAAAGCTTTCTGGAGTCATTTGTTTTCTGTTCACAGTGCATTCTCATGGTCACCTCTGGGTTCTCAGGTCCCCGGGGTATGTGAGATATTGACCTTCCTACTGGGCTCAGAACGGATTGCCCTCAACTCATGTCTCCTTCCAGTGTCCTGCTGACCTGTCTCTCTGAGGCGTGCCTGAAGGCCTGCAGGGCTCAGGGTAGATGGAATCTGCTCAGAGGAAATCCCTTACCCTCAGCATTTGGGTTTATTTAATTTTTTACAACAATATTATCAGCCAAACATTACTGTAACCAATTACCTACTGTATAATAAAACTTTTTTAAAAACTACTATATTAAAGAATGAGATTCTAAAATTATCACAATGCTGGTTACAAATGATAATTCAAGAAAAAAGAAATTTTGTTACTCAGACTGAGCAAAATAAACCGTTTTTTTTTGGGGGGGGGGTGTCACCTAGAGATGACCAGGGTTTACTCCTGGCTCTGCACTCAGAAATTACTTCTGGCATTCCTTGGGGAACCATATGAGATGCCAGAGATTGATCCCGGGTCAGCGCATGCAAGGCAAACACCCTACTCTTCAAGTAGTTGTTTTGTTCATTTTTCTATTTCATTGTTTTTTCGTTGTAAGTTTATTTTTTGTTCCTTTTTTGTTCTTGGTATGTCTTTTAGTTCACTAATTTTTTTAGTGACTGAATAGTCATTACACTTAATAGTCATATCCATTGTACTTTCTATATTCTATGCCAAAATATACATGTGTCAAAATTCAAAGGAATTTTCTTTTAAATTTTGGGAGCCAAACCCATCAGTGTTCAGATGTTGCTCTGGCTCTGTGCTCAGGGATCACTCCTGGTAGACTCAGGAGGCCATAGGGGGTAACATGAATCAAACCTGAGTCAGCTGCATGCAAGGAAAGCACCTTACCTGCTGTGCTATCTCTCTGACCCCTGAGGATCACTTCTGCCATGTGCTACTATCAAACTTCCCTGAACTCTCCCCACCATGTGTCCTGTTTCATTTTTCTGTACAGCAGGTGAAAACTCTATAGGAAACCAGTACTTTTACTGAGTTCGGGGGACATTCTGATACCATTGCGACATTAACTTCCCATCACAACCAAGGTGCTTAGCTGCTTGTACATGAAGCTATACAAACACACTCACACAAACATACACATACATAGTAACGGAGCACCTTCTTATCATACATATCTCACAAGCAAATTCCAAACATAGCAGTATCAACAACAGAAATCAACAAACTCATAGACATACAACTTACCACACATCTGACTTGTGCATGTATTATACCATACATTATACTTCTGTAAACACACATCATATCCCACATCTACCACATATATCACATCCTCACAGATCCCCAACACTGCATGATAGACTTCATTCAGAAAACACTGTACTGCCTATGTATTGTATTCAAAAGACCTAGAAAGATCATGACATGTGACTTGTCCTTTCGGCTTCACATTCTTAGAAAAAAGATAAAAAGAAAGCAAAATAAATAAAAGAATGCAGGAATTTGTAAAGACCCAGTGTGTCATTCCCAGATTCAAGTGAGCGCTCTCATTTATTGGAAGAGATGCATCCCCTGAGCCACCTCCCAAGGTTCTCTTCCTGCTGCTTGGTCGCTCCCACCTCTGGGGATATTTCTCTGCAGGTGCTATGCACCCTGTCTCCTTCTCAACCCTGCGATTTTGCATGATCTGGCGCCCTCTCACACAGCAGGAAAAACAGTGGGTGAGCAACTCTCTTAGAACAGTTCCTGTAAGGATGTTGCTGCATTTTTCAGTCTGCTTGCTGGGGACTGTCTTCCCCTTCTTAATATTTTACTGGTAAAAAGTGATTTTTGTTTGCTTCTATGTTTTTCTGGATACCTCAGGGTGCTGAGAGGCTACTTCTAGCTGTGTTGGAGCCCTTTGCAGTAAACCACATGGGACTGTGATTGACCCGAATGTAGCCATGTTTTCTGTCCTTTATCATGGAACTAATTTGGGATGTGTCAGCCCTAATGACTCCTCTGTACAAGTAGGCATCACCTGACCAGGCAAGAAGACCTCCTCTGTGAGCTGGTTGTTGTAGGGGGTGTCATGTATCCTGTATTATGTGGGTCTGCCATCCCAGGATATGTCAGTATATGATGGTCAAGAAAGACACAGTTGTAGGATATCTGTGTGCAGTCATGGGGATGCAGAGCTGGGGGAACTTCTCACTACAGTGGGAACAGAGGAGCTTTTTATCTCATTTTTCTTCAGTCTGAACTGCACCCAAGCCAGACTATGATGGGCTGCACTCCTAGATTCTCCTGTGAGTCAGTGCCCTGGACAGCCCTCCACCCTCCTCTCCTGTTTATCGCTTGCAGCAGGCACAGCTCAGACAGTGCTCAGAATGAAATCCTCTTCCTCTGCCTCCTTCTCTGCACTGTTGGATAACTGTATATTTATTTTGAAGGTGTGAACTGTATACTCTGATGTCAGAGGTCATCTATACAAAAAGATTTGCTTGTGAGGAAGTCTAAGGTTTTCTTTGTTTCCAGTAAATCATGACTCAGTTGAGTAGAATCAGGACTTTGGTCTCTTTTGCTATTCTTCTTCTTCTTTTGGGTTACTCAGGGAGATACTCAGTATTTACTCCTGGCTCTTAACTGAGAGATGGTTCTGGCAGTGCTCAGGGACCATATGGGATGCTGGGGATTGAACCCAGGTCAACTATGTGCAAGACAGGTGCCCTCCTGGCTATACTGCTGTTTTGATTTCTTTTTTTCTTCATTCAGAGGCAGCTGCTGAGTCGCCAAATGCTCCCCCACCCCGACCAGAGAACCTCCCTTCATAGCTCAGAGCAGAGGCTCCTGGTACTCCAAGCCAACAACACTCCTTGCTAGGCTATTCACAGCTCCTGGGCTGTCCAGGCTGCTCTGAAGATATGAGTCCCTGCAGAGGAATATTGAGGAGGTAGGAGACAGAGAACCCAACACAGGCTGTTGTGAACACAGACCCAAGGAGCCAGAAGGGTGCCAGCTAAAAGAGACCCGAATAGAAACACTCCAAGGCGTATCATAGTCAGAATGATAGATGCTGTGGACAGAGACACAATACTGAAAGCAGCAAGGTTTGAGAAGGAAATCACAAACAAAGGAGCACCCCTTAGATTTACAGCAGCCCTAACAGAGGGAACCCTCCGAGCCTGAAGACAATGGTGGGATATAGTGAAAAAACTCAATGAAATGAATGCCTCACCAAGAATACTTTATCCAGCTAAACTCTCACTCAAACTCGACGGAACTCTACACCATTTTGTAGATAAACAACAGCTCAGAAACTTCATAGACTCAAAACCAAACCTAAAAGAAGAATTAAAGAGGCTCCTATAAGAAGGAAAACACTTATAAACACAACTAACCCATACAGAAAGATGGCACAAAACCCCATGACAATAATCTCTCTCAACATCAAAGGTCTAAATGTACCAATCAAGAGACACAGAGTGGTAAAATGGATCCAGAAACTGAAACCAACATTCTACTATCTACAAGAAACTCATCTGAACAATCAGAGCAAACACAGATTCAAAGTTAAAGGATGGAAAACAATTCAGCAAGCAAACAGCTCTCTCAGAAAAGCTGGAGTGGCCATACTATATCTGATAACATAAATTTCAGGTTGAAAAAGATTAGACAGGATGGTGAAGGCCATTTTCTATTTATCAAGGGATATGTACAACAGGAAGAAATCACACTCTTAAATGTATAAGCACCTAATGAGCGAACAGCTAAATACTTAAAACAACTGTTAGCAGATTTTAAGTAGGACATTGCTAGCAACACAATTGTAGTTGGAGACATCAACATTACCTTATCACCTCTGGATAGATCAATAAGAATAAAACTCATCAAGGAAACATTGGCTTTGAAAGAAAAATAGAAGAAATAGGGGTAATAGACCTATACAGGGCTTTATACCCCCAAAAGGAAGAATACACATTCTTCTCTAGTGCACACAGAACATTCTCCAAAACAGACTACGTGCTAGGCCACAAAACATACCTCAATAGAATCAGGAAAATAGAAGTAGTATCAACCATCTTTTCAGACCACAATGCTCTGAAGATAGAAGCGAATCACACAAAGACACTGAGAAACAAATCATCAAACACCTGGAAATTAAACAACTCAATGTTGAACAATGAGTGGGTCAGGAAGGAAGTCAAAGACGAAATCAAAAGATTTCCTGGAAACAAATGGGAATGAAGACACGAACTACCAGAACCTATGGGACGCAGCTAAAGCTGTGCTAAAAGGAAAATTTATAGCATTACAAGCATTCCTAAGGAAAGAAGAAAGGGCCTACATAGATAACCTAACCACGCAGCTCAAATCTTAGAAAAAGACCAACAAAAGGAATGCAAAATTGGCCGAAGGAAAGAAATAATAAAACTTAGAAATTAAAAACATGGAAACAACAACAACAACAAAAATAAAACAATCCGAAAGGTCAATGAAACCAAGAGCTGGTTCTTTGAGAAAATAAATAAGATTGATAAACCACTAGCAAGACTCACAAAGAAAAAGAGAGAGAGAACCCTAATAAACCGAATCAGAAATGGAAAGGGGGATGTCACAACAGAAACCAATGAAATTCAAAAGATCATCAGAGACTACTTTGAGAGTCTGTATGCCACAAAACAAGAGAACCTAGAAGAAATGGATAAATTCCTGGATTCCTATAATCTCCCAGGATTGAACCAAGAAGACTTGGCATACCTGAATAGACCCATTCATATCAAGGAAATTGAAGTGGTAATCAAAAGTCTTCCCCAAAACAAAAGCTCAGGCCCAGAGAGAGGGATTCACTAGTGAATTCTTCCAAACATTTAAAGAAGACCTTTTGCCAGTTCTCCTCAAGTTTTTCCAGAAAATTTAAAAAATAGGAACTCTCGTAAACAGCTTCTATGAGGCACATATCTCCCTAATACCAAAAGCAAACAAAGAAACCACCAACAAAGAAAACTATAAGTCAATATACCCGATGAACACGGATGCGAAGATCCTCAACAAAATATTAGCAAATTGAATCCAACAGCTCATCAAAAAAATCATACACCACGATCAAGTGGGATTCATCCTGGGGATGCAAAGATGGTTTGACACTCGGAAATCAATCAACATAATCCATCATATCAACAAAAATAAAGATAAAAGCCATATGATCATATCAATAGATGCAGAGAAAGCACTTGACACGATACAACACCTGTTTATGATGAAAGTTCTCACCAAAATGGGTTTTTAAGGAAATTTCCTCAAGATAATCAAAGCCATCTACAACAAACCCATAGCAAGCATTATCCTCAATGGGGAAAAACTAAGGCCCTCTAAGATCAGGGACAAGACAAGGATGCCCACTATCACCACTTTTGTTCAATGTAGTACTGGAAGTACTTGTAATAGCGATCAGGCAAGAAAAAGATATTAAAGGCATCCAGGTAAGAAAGGAAGAAATCAAGTTCTCACTATTTGAAGGTGATATGATACTATATCTTGAGAACCCCAAATCCTCTACCAAGAAACTCCTAAAAAGTAGACTTGTACAGTAAAGTTGCAGGCTATAAAATTAATGCCCAAAAGTCCATGGCTTTCCTATACGCAAATAATGAGAGAGAGGAAAGTGCGATGAAAAAAATAATCCCATTCACAATCATGCCCAGAAAATCAAATACCTCGGAATCAGCCTAACTAAAGAGTTAAAGGACCTCTACAATGAAAACTACAAACGCTACTCCATGAAATAAAAGAAGACACAAGGAAATGGAAACATCCCCAGCTCATGGATAGGAAGAATTAACATTGGAAAATGACGATACTCCCCAAAGCATTATACAATTTCAATGCGATTCCTATAAGGATACCCATGAAATTCTTCAAAGAAATAGATCAAGCACTCCTGAAATTCATATGGAACACAAACGCCCACGAATAGCTAAAGCAATTCTTGGGAAAAAGACGTGGGGAGGCATTACCCTCCCCAACCTCAAACTACTACAAAGCGGTGATAATTAAAACATTATGGTACTAGACAAAGTCAGGTCCGTAGACCAATGGAACAGGGTGGAATATCTATACACACAACCCCAAATGTATGAAAATCTAATCTTTGATATAGGAGCAAGAAATGTGAAGTGGAGCAAGGAAAGCCTTTTCAACAAATGGTGCAGGCATAACTGGACAACCACATGCAAAAAAAATGGGCTTAGACCTCGACCTAACACCATGCACAATAGTCAGATCAAAATGGATTAAAGATCTCAACATTAGGCCAAAATCCATAAGATACATCGAAGACAAGGTTGGCAAAACCCTCCATGATATTGAGGCTAACAGTATCTTTAAAGACAACATTCTACTGATCAACCAAGTGAAACAGAGATAAACAATGGGACTATCTTAAATTAAGAAGATTCTGCACCTCAAAAAGATATAGTGACCAGAATACAAAGACAATATACAGAATGGGAAAGAATATTCACCCAATACCCCTCTGATAAGGGGTTTATATCAAGGATATACAAAGCACTGGTTGAACTCCACAAGAAAAAATATTCAACTCCATCAAAAAATGGGGTAATGAAATAAATAGAAACTTTCTCAAAGAAGAAATCCGAATGGCTAAAAGGCACATGAGAAAACGATCTACATCACTAATCATTAGGGAGATGCAGATCAAACAACAATTAGATATCACCTCACACCACAGAGATTGACCCACATCCAAAAGAACAAAAGCAACAGGTGCTGGCGTGGATGTGGTGAGTAAGGGACTCTCCTTCACTACTTAGTGGTAATGCTGACTGGTCCAGCCCTTTTGGTAAACAGTATGGAAGATTCTCAAGAAATTAGAAATTGAGCCCCCATTTGATCCAGCAATAACACTCCTGGGAATATATCCTGGAGAGGCAAAAATGTATAGCCGAAGTGACGTCTGCACTTCTATGTTCATTGCTGCACTGTCCACAATAGCTGAAATCTAGAAAAAACCCGAATGCCTGAGAACAGGTGACTGGTTAAAGAAACTTTGGTACATCTGTGCAATGGAATAATATGCAGCTGTTAGAAAAGACGAAGTCATGAAATTTACATACAAATGGTACTACATGGAAAGTATCATGCTAAAGTGAAATGAGTCAGAAAGAGAGGGACAGACATAGAAACATTGCATTCCTCTGGGGAATATAAAACAACAGAATAGGAGACCAAAATCCTAGAATAGTCGAGATAAGTTACAGGAGGTTTACTCTGTGGCTTGAATGCCAGCTGCACATGCTATGGGAAAGGGCAGCTCAAACAGAGAAGGGAACACCAAGCAAAGGGTGTTGGGAGGATTCTCCCAGGATGGGAGATGCATGCTGAAAGTAGACTATAGACTGAACATGTTTGCCTCTCAATGCCTCTTGCAAACCTTAGCAACAAAAAGGAGAGAAAAAACAAAAGGGAATGCCCTGTCACGGAGTCAGGATGGGCTGGGAGAATGGGAGAGATGGGAGGGTTACTGGGATCATTGGCGGTGGAGAATGGGCACTGGTGGAGATTGGGTACTCAATCATTGTAAGACCAAAACCCTAGTACAAAACTTGTAAGGTCAACAACTGTACCACATGGTGTTTCACTAATAAAAAAATTTTTAAAAAATAGGGTACTCAGGTGAACAAAGAAGGGTTGCCAACTCTCATTGATTTCAGTGGTACTTGGCAACAAGTGCAGAAAATCGCAAGTCAGAGACTGTGAAGATCATGTGAAGGTTTCTTGATTGTAGATTTTGTGTTTGGGACAAAAAAAGTTTCTATTTTCCTTGTCCTATCTCTATACTGATAAAATAGAGAGGGATTTATTTGGGTGTCTTTTTTTTTGTGGGTCAGATTACTTTCGTTTTTGACAATCTCAGAGCACAAACAGGAAATTGCACAACTCTGGCCCCCACACTTACAGTAATTTCATCCCACTCTTACAGTAGTTTCTTTTATGTGTTCAATCCTCTGATAGTCAAATACCCTGCTAGAGTTTGAGGAGGTGGCAACAGCAGAAGGGACTGTCAGCAAACAAGTGAGTATCAGCTGGGTTCTGTGGAGTCCTGGGAATGTTCAAGTTAAGGTATTCTCCATGGAGGTATGCTGAAGTGTGTGTGACAGAGATAGGAGGAAGTGGGGGCAGGGTGCTCATGGTTGTTCTGAGGAGAATCTCCCCAATATGAACATGGTCAGAATTTTGGTTTCTTGCTCTCTCTTTTGTTTGCTTTCTTTTTTTCCCCACAAACTCTTTTTCATAACTTATATGACCAGGATGTGAGGCAAGTAAAGTCCCAGGACAAGCACCCTGGGGACTCAGAGGAGGAGGGTTCCTTGCTAGAAATAGAAAATATTTGGTAGAAGAGATATAATGTCTCCCTTCTGAAAATAGTTTAGTAAGGAAGACTCTAGAATAAATTCTCCATGATTCAGTGAGATTCATCATAAGAGAGAGAAATAGCCTTCTAGTATCCTTTGAACTCTCTTGTTTTCAATACCAGACAATGACAGTGCAAAGGAAAGTCAATCCCTAAATTTCCTCCCACCTCCACCATCTCCCCACACCACTCCTGTGTGTAGGAATGAGGAACAGGCTCTCTCAACAGCTGCCTGGGGAGATAGCTGACTCTAGTCACCCTGCACTCTGTTCCTTGTATCAGGCTGTGATGTTCCTGATGAACACTAAGTGACCTAGCACCCAGAATCCACAGACACTTAGCCTCTCCCACTGACTCTCCACTCCTCACATGGTGGACTATAACAACTCTCTGGGTTTGAGTTTATTCATTTGGACTTTTAAAGTCCATTTTATTGACTTATATGTCATTAGATATTGACATGAAGTAGTTCCTGTACTATTAGTCTTCAAACTCACTATTTTCATATAAAGTATCATGTGTGATAATGGATACCATTTTCCACATGCAGATATGTTACATGTCTTTTCAATTCCATTTTCTTTCTTTCTTTCTTTCTTTCTTTCTTTCTTTCTTTCTTTCTTTCTTTCTCTCTCTCTCTTTCTTCCTTTCTCTCTCTCTCCTTTTTTCCATCCTTTCTTTCTTTCTTTCTTTCTTTCTTTCTTTCTTTCTTTCTTTCTTTCTTTCTTAGATAAAACTTCAGATGTGAAATGGGACAGAGGTTCAGGAAGGTGTATAATCATTACTTGAAAAATTTCTATCTCTTTCATCTCTGCTTACAGATCAAATATTGGAACATTCCAAGGAGAAATCATGGCCTCAGTTATCAAGAAGCTCAGAGAGGAAGCCACCTGCTCCAGCTGCCTGCAGCTGATGACTGACCCTGTGGTCATTGACTGTGGGCATAGCTTCTGCCGTATGTGCATAATGGGCATCATTGAGAACCAGCAAAGGGACCTACCAATAGGGGAGATATATGTCTGTGCTCTGTGTATGCAGACATTTCAAAAAGAGAGCCTCCGACCCAATAAGAAGCTGCAAAGCATCATCGAAACTATCAATAACATGAGCTGTGAAAAGTTGTGTGAGGAACATGAAAAGAAGCTCCAACTCTACTGTGAAGATGATGACCAGCTCCTCTGCTTGTACTGTGAACAAAAACCGCAGCACAAAGGACATGTCTTGGTTCTTGCTAAAGACGTCTGCGAAGACTACAAGGTAAGCGTGAGCATCAGAGGGCTTCACAAGGACATGCTCTTATGTGACTCCCTGGGAACTGAGATGTTCAGTTTGAGTGCATGATTATATTTGGTAAACAGTGCTTTCAGTATGTCATTCGCTAAACATTAGTTAATGATCTATATCTGCTGCATCAGTACCTGATTGTTCATTCTATCTCTTACTGGGAAGTCAAGACACTAAATCTTACTATAGATGTTTCCTTTATTTTTGTCAGAGACAGAATTGTCTCCTCATGTCAACATAGTCCTCCACCCACAAATAAAAACTCTCAGTAGTAAGTTCACTGGGATCTCAGCAGATGTTGTGAGCACAAATTCTATTCCCACATCATTGCTGTCCATCATGTCCTTACTCCCCACAGCCCAGTCTAAGCATAGACAACTTCCTGCATATTCATTTCTGCATATTCATTTCTTAGTGAACTAAGATTTGTCAATGCACTCACTATGATGAAATTCTTCTCTAGAATTAAATGTGTACAAACCCACAGATGCCTATTCTACTATGTACATACGTTGAGAAAATGCAATGTGTTAGACCATGTGACAGAATATAAAAGCCTGGGGAAATAGAAGCACTGCTATTTCTATCCTACAGATAAATAAAAAAGCTGAAGAAAATCACTTGATCACTTGACTTCCCACTAATCGTTGATTTGCTCGAGCGGGCACCAATAACGTCTCCATTTGTCCCTGTCGCGTGCTAGTGTAGCCCAATGGCGTCAGTTCGCTCTAGGAACATGAAGAGCCTCAAACCGATTGTTCATGATCTTGTTGAAGAAGTCTGACCATCTGGTAGGTGGGCGGCCATGCGATCTTTTGACATCCCATGGAATCCAGTTAGTAACAGCTCTAGTCCAGCGATCGTCTTTAAATCTCATTACGTGATCAGCCCATTTGATTTTTGACACCTTGACAAATGAGACAGCGTCCCTGATTCTTGATCGTAATTACAATGGGTCTCATTCACCTGACCCTGAAGGCTGAAGAAAATACCTTATGATTTCGTCAGAAGGTGACAGGGGAACAATGGGTAGGGGTGATATTTGAGGAAGTTTCCCAAAGTCTCTTTAAATTCCTGATGGGCTCAAAAAAGTTGACTGTACATACAAGCATGGGGAAGTAGAGGGTGTCCTGGACAGAGGAAAGATATGAGCAGAAATGAATATGCAGGAAGTTGCCTATGCTTAGACTGGGGTGTGGGGAGTAAGGACATGATGGACAGTGATAATGTGGGAATAGAATTTGTGCTCACAACATCTGCTGAGATCCCAGTGAACTTACTATTGAGAGTTTTCATTTGTGGGTGGAGGACAACGTTGACATGAGGAGACAATTCTGTCTCTGACAAAAAATAAAGGAAACATCTATAGTAAGATTTAGTTTATTCCTTTATGATGAGTCAAGTGGCAGTTTCTATCAAGATACAAGAAGATAAATAAAAATAGTTCCAAATTATTTCTGTGCAGGATGAAGTTCAGTGATGGGTTTCATCCTAAAAGTCATGAATTCCTCACTAAGGAAGGATGTCTTTTTCTTTGGAGAAAAGGAGATGCAGATATGATTCTGCTATCTCATGCATTCTGTGCCCTTTCTACATTTGATGAAAAGGGCCCTGGTTTGGGACACCCTGTTATTTTTTTTTTCAACACAAGGGTAGGTGTTCTTGCGTGATGGTTTGCATTCTTACTCAGGACGTGTCCTATTGACATCCAATCCACAGAGAATTGGTCCACCAGCAACTCTGTTGAGCAAGAAAGAACTTAAGAACAGTAAATGGGCTACTCCCATTGATATAAATTCCACCATATACTAATAAGAGGAATGACATAGACAGTGATTCTATCCCAAGGAGTTAGCCTGCATAAATCAATTATTTCTGATGCTAACTAGTTGGTGATAAATTTCTTCACTGTCTTTATGACTTGATTTTCCCCACCTTTCTATGTGGATCGAGTATCGAATACGGCATGGATAGCTTGCCACGCTCTTCTGCGCGGTCGGGATATTCTCAGTAGCTTGCCAGGCTCTCCGAGAGAGATAGAGGCTTTTAGGGTGGACTCTAATCGCCTCTGCCGGTGTTCCCGTGGTTCAAACCATATTTTAACCTACAAATATGGTGCAGTAATCGTGGAAGAAGGATATTAAGTGTCTTATGATGTCCGGAAAGCATCCTGGAGCATGGAGGTGGCTGGGTAGTGGAGGTAGATGTGATCTGCCTAAGGTATTTATATGGTACTGGTAGGGTGGGTCTTCTGTGTGTAATCCCTGGGTCGCTGGAGGTTGGTGGAAGAAGACAGGGCAGAGTAGGGTGGGGCTTCTGGGTTTTATACCTTGGTCACTGGAGATTGGTAGGAGCAGGCAGAGGATCTCTATTCCCAGGTCCCGTTGATCCTGGAGTCCAAAGTCACAGAGTTCCGCTTACCTTGTTTTGTGGGGATTCACTCTTGCATGAGTCTTGGCCTGAGCATCTGCAAAGCATCCTGGAGCATGGCGGTGGCTGGTTAGTGAAGGTCCATCCCAATGAAAAACCAGCAGGACTGTACTCCTGTACAAGAAGGGAGACATCCACGACATTGGCAACTATCACCTGATCTGCCTCTTGTCTGTCGTCTACAAGCTGTTCACTCAAGTCATCCTGAATAGGTTTGGCAGAACACTAGATGAAGGACAACCATGTGAGCAAGCTGGTTTTCCAAAAGGACTCAGCACTATCGACCATATCCACAATATAACCAAGCACATTGAGGCTTCTCGGTAATTCAAGATGCCACTCTGTGTAATGTTCATTGATTTAAAGAAGGCCTTTGATTCTGTTGAGACTGAAGCAGTCATTGAAGCCCTAGCCAAATAGGGCATTCAAACTCAATATATTAGGATCCTCCTGAGCTGTATTACGGATTCACTACCAGGATCTCACCATTCTACAAGGAAGTGATCATTCATGTCAAAAGAGGGATTCAGCAGGGTGATACCTTTTCAATAAAACTCTTCACTGCCACCCTCGAGAACATCATGCGATGACTGGAATGGAAAGGAATGGGCGTGAAGATAGATGGTTGGCAACTACACCACCTCTGCTTCGCTGATGACATCTTTCTAACAATACCAAACATTAGCCAAGCAGCACAAATGCTGACTGACTTCGACTGTGAATGTGGAAAGGTCGGACTCCAGCTGAATCTCATGAAAACAATGTTTATGAGAAACAGCCTCGTTCCTGATGTTCCATTCGCTCTCAACAGAATGACCACTTCCAAATGCAACAGTTATGTTTACCTAGGTCAGGAAGTCAACTTGACGAATGACCTAGCACATGCATTGTGCAGGAGGAAAAGAGCAGCTTGGAACACTTTTAAGAGCTTCAAAGAAATAGCTAAGAGGACGAAGAACCTCCAGCTCTGAGCACATCTCTTCGATTCCACTGTTCTTCCTGCATTAACATACTCCTCAGAGACCTGGGCCCTACAAAAACAGGATGAGAATTATATTCGAGTCTCCCAAAGAGGAATCAAAATAGCTATGCTTGGAGTATCATGTTTCACTCAAATGAGAGAAAGAATTTGGAGTTTCAACCTACATTCACAATCAAGAATCAGGGACGCTGTCTTGTTTGCCAAGGCATCAAAAATCAGAAGGGCTGGACACATGATGAGATTTGGAGATGACCGCTGGACTAGAGCCATTACCGATTGGATTCCATGGGAAGTCAAAAGATCACGTGGCCGCCCACCTACAAGATGGTCAGACTTCTTTGTCAAGACCCTGAATGATCGGTTTGAGCCTTTTCCTGTTCCTAGAACAAGCAGATGCCATTGGGCACACTAGCAAGCAACAGGGACTAATGGAGATGTAACTGGCGCCCGCTTGAGCAAATCGATGAGTAATGGGATGTCAAGTGTTCAAGTGATCAAGTCTATGTGGGTAATAGATATGCTTTCATAAAATGGAATAAATAATAGCTTCATTTCCCCGCCCAAATACCTTATTCTTAAGATTCTTACAGCTTTAATGATAATGATGTATGTGAAACCTAGGGTAGCACTGGGTTCATGCAAGGGCAACAATCCATTGCTGACAAGTTTCTAGGGTAATTTCTTTCAGCTACAAGATAATGAAACTCAGAAGACCTGGGGAAAATTTTAAGTATTGAACATATTAAATCTGATTCCCATTAAAATTTCTTCCATGAAAACAAGAACCTCTTAAAAAGCAAGATTTTTATCTTGGAATCTAAATAATTTTTATTTGCATTCACAGTTTCATCTTCTAAAGGATCAGCAGCCATCCTCCTGCATGAGTTGTTTCTGTTTTTGGCCTCCACCTGTTTCCCTTTCAGCCACCATAACACGAAGTGTCGAAAATTTCCAATTATCTTCCTTTGATTATCTGTGGGTCAGAGATTATTCTATAATATTTATTACTTGTGACCTAGTTGTGTGTGCAGTTTTTCTCTGGAAAGATGCCGTGGTTCTAGTCTACTGGCATTGGACAGTAGACATTCTTGTAATTACACTACACATATCTACCTTTTAATAGTCCCTGGAATAACAACTTAATTCCTTTGAAAATGTAATTTTGAAAGCAAGAACTGACATGAAATATCAATCACCTTTCCTCAGATCAAGTTGCTTCATTTATAAGTATAAAGACTTAACAAGCATTAAATGTTACTGCAACTGAAGATATTGAATGTCCTATAATACTGAAGTCACATTAAACACTTAGCAAAAAGCTGAAAAATATGTGTACTTTATTAATATTTTTCAGGAAATGCTACAGAAAGCAGTGACAAAATTGAGGGAAGATGAGTCCCTATGCAACAACCTGAAGTTGTTCCTAAGAAAACAGAGGACAGAATGGGAGGTAAGAAAACTAAAGTGATTGGTCAACCTCTTTATCAACTAGATCAGTTTTGGAGATGAGTGGACATATACAGAATAATTGATTATTGTCACTCTACCAGACGAAATTGATGGAACCTAGAGAAAGACTAGAATTTGTTTTTTATGACACTTGTACTTCCATTTCTAATTCTCTTGCTATACTCTTGCTATACTTCACAAACATATGATAATAGTTCTAGTACCACAATCAATTTCTTTACCTCTCCTAACCCTTCATTCTCCATCACCTTGGCTGCTCCCACAGTTAAATGTATGCCTTCTGGTCATGACTGAGGATTAGATAATATAAGACAATTTTCATTTTGAATGCTTCATGGGAATGTCATGTCATAGTAGCCCCGCAAGCTTCCTTTGGTTGAGTGTTGGTTCAAATAGACATATGACAAAAGTTTCCATTTTCACCAATTTTGGTGCACAGTTTATTGGCACTAAGTGTTTTTATGGCTCAGAAATCCTTCCCACTAACTGAATGCAGAAATTCTTTAATACTTCAAACCGGAACTCTTTAAGCATGCATTTAAAGAGTGCATGATCCTTTCACTGATCCTTTCTCCTAATTCTTGGCAACAATACTATATATTCTGTCTCTACGAATTGTACTTGGACCCCCTATAGTGGATTTATCTTGGTTTTGCTCCTGTTTAAGGCCACACCTGGAGGTCCTCAGGACACACTCATGATTCTCTGTTTAGAGATCACTCTTTGAGCAGCTTGTGGGATTATATTGGCTTCTGGGGTTTGAATCCAGGTGGCTGCATGAAATTCAAGCACCCTGCCTGCTGTACTATCTCTCTGCTCAGATGCCATTTTTGTCATTTTTCTCTTTATTTGCTTCACTGAACTTAATATACTCCCCTCTCTGCAGTCAGCGTTTCCTTTCTCATTGAGTCTGAATAGTAAACAGTTGAGTTTATAGATCTTATTTTGCTCGTTTATTCATTTAAGAATCAATACTCGGTTTGTATTTTGAAACTTCTTGTGTTTAGGAGAAGGTCACACTTCAGAGACAAAAAATCCAGTCTGAATTTGAGAACCTTTGTAGATTTCTGCGCAAGGAAGAGAAGCATTTTCTAAGGAGGCTTGAGCAAGAAGAGGAGCAGACCCTGAGGCAATTGCAGGAAGGTGAAGACAATCTGGAAAAACAAAACCAGCAACTGCAAAATTACATCCGGGTTCTTGAGAGGAAATGTCAGGACTCAGTCCAGAATCTGATGGAGGTAATATATATTATTAAGGTACTGTGATTTGCCAAGTTGTTCATTATAGAATTTCAGGGATACAATGTTTCATCACCAATCCCATCACCATTGTTCACTTCTCTTCATCAGTGTCCCCAGGTTCCCTCCAAGTCCCAGCTTGCCTCCTTGACAAGCACATTTTGGAAGTTCAATCATTGAATTTATACTTTATGCTACAGTGTTATTAGGTCTGGAGGTTAGATATATTCATTGACCTCACCTCTACATTACCTATAGGCCCGATGCACCTGGCTCTTGCCCATTTAACACCCACCTGCCATTTCTTACGTCTGCCTTCATTCTTTCCATCCCTGTTCTTCCCATTCTATGATATCGTGTTAAGCATAGTCTAGTTATTTCCTCCCCTCCTTTACCTTTCACTCCTGTGTCCTTTTTGTCTATATCCCACAGGTAAGTGAGACCATCCTGTATTTGCCCTTCTTCTGACTTACTTCACTTGACATATCTTTCAGTTTGATCCAAATTGCAGCAATTGCATGCTTTCATATAGCATTACATTGTTTAAATAGGTCACACTTTTGTTATCTACTCCTCTCTCATTGGGCACCTGGGTTGATTTTATTTTAGGTCTTCTTAAATGATGCAAAGTAATGCTGTGCATATGTCCTTAGGAATAAATGTTTTAGTGTCTAAAAAGTACATATGAAGAGATGGAATGGTTTGTTCATAAGGAAGCTTTATTCTTACTTTTCTGAGAAATCTCTGTTCTGTTTAGCAAAAGGTGAAAGCATTCCTACCAGAAGTGGATGAGAGTTCCTTATTCACTCCATTCCCTCCAACACAGAGTGTTTTCTTTTTTTTTAATATATTTACCATTTTCAATGCCGTGAGATAATATCTCATTATTGTCATGATTTGAATTTCCCAAATAAGGAAAAAACAGTTTTTCATGTGGCTCTTAGCCTTCCATCTGTTTTCTTCAAGATGTGTCTGTTCATTTTCTCTCGGCATATATATTTTTTCCTGTTCCTAAATTTTGAATATTTTTGTTTTTGTTTTTGGTGAGTGCTTTATAAATCTTGTGTATTAATCCTTTATCTGGTGTGTTGATTTGAATATTTTCTCTCATGCAGATGGGGTTCTTTCAGTTTTAGCCCATTTTTCTTTTGCCATGCAGAATTTTGTAACTTGATGCAGTTACATTTGTTTATATTTGTTGCTTTTGCCCATGGAATTGTCTCATTGGAGACTCTTCGAGTTTTAAATCTTGAAATGCTCTACTCATGTGTTTCTCAATGCAATTTACGGATTCTAGTCTCATCTCATGGGCTTTGATCTACATTGAATTGACTTTTGTGTAAAGCGTGAAATATGGATCAGTTTTATTTTTTTCACTTTTGGTTATGCAGTTCTTTCCAACACCTTTATTTTAAAGAGTCTTTTCTTACGCCGCATTATGTACCCAATTTCTTCATCAAAATTTAGTTGATTGTAGAAGTAGGGTGTACTTGATTCTATCACATTAGTCAAAGTCTATCCTAAGTTTGTGAGAGAAGACCAATGAGGAAGTTTTTAAAGACTGACATAAAACCTGTCAGTTTACTTAGAATTGCCCATTAGGACCAAAAAGGTAGTATGTCAGGTAGGATGCTTACCTTGCAGATAATAAAACTGGGTTAGGGCCTGGAACCATGCATGGTTTCAGAGCTCCACCAGGAGTAATTCTGTAATACAAGCCAGGAGTATTCCTGAACACTGCTAGGTGTGGCTCCCAAACAACAACAATTTTTTTTCATTTATTTTTCATTTCATATTGCATTTCTTTTAGAAACTCTATTAGTTTGTAGATCGTGCTCATGGACTTCAATAAATATGTTCCCTTGATGTGAACAGTGTACTTTTTGGAGAATCATAGAATAAATGTTACTTCCATTTATTTTCTTCTGCTGTCATTTATTTATTTTATGTTCATGCTTTAAAACACTGTCAAATGATCTATTCAAAGAGTCATGTCAATGGCAGTTGATAAAGTGAGACAGCTGAAATGAGTGATAATCTTGTCCTGAATATGGCTGTAAAGTGCTTATTCCATGAATTCTAATGGGATATCACCTGCATCAATGATTCAGCCAGTAAAATAAATAACTGCATCTGTTTATCCTAGTTCACCCAATAAAACATGTGGTTAGCTTCTAGACTGAGATACCAGCATTTATGGCCATGTGATACTTGTACAACGACATGCTGAAACAGTTACATGGAAATAGCTTGGATTAAGCATTGAGACCTTTAAGGATACATAACTAAAATATAAAATATAAAAGTTTCTTGGTGGAAATCATGTTCATGAAAGCAAGAGGTGCCCCGGGGACACTCTGCCCCTCTTCTCCAGGCAGTCCACACTTGTAATTGCTTCAGAATTTTCTATAAGTGAAATAAAAGGTTTAGAGATTCTCTTCAGAATTTTCTACATGCAAAATAAAAGGTTCAGGGATTCTAGAAATGGTCCCATGAAAATATACTTTGGAGACTGAGGTGCAATTTCAGTGTTAGGAATCCATTCCTATTTAAACCTGTGTTCACTTTTCCCTTGTACTTGAAGAGTGTTTATAGAGAGCAACCCCATGTGACAAGTCCCAGGAAACATTGATGTCTCTACAGTCTCATTTGGTCTTTGTTTCTCTACAGGGTGTGAAACTCGCCTTGAGAAGGTGAGTGGTGTGTGAATGCAGGTGGGCAGGGGTGTGGGTCTATGGAGACTAACAGCAAGTCCCTCTGATGGCATCTCTGGCTCTGCTTACTCAGGAGTTTTGATGTGAAGCCGGAATTGCCGGAGGCCATCTCTTTGGACCTTCATACTGTGTGTAACGTTTCTGAGCTTTACTTTGATGTGAGGAAAGTTTTAAAGAGATATCAAGGTAAGTCAAGTAATGTACGCCCTAAATTGTATGGGTGGAAGGGACTTTTCAAGGAAACAGAGTCCCTTAACAGACTCACAGTCACAAAGTGTGTTTAATTATTTTCAGTGGAATATCACCCTCTTCCTTGTATGACCCGGTGCTTAGCCAGGACCCTAGCATTCTGTTCATGTGAAGTCCCTTTAGATTTTTGATATCTTCTATTTTACTGGAATGAAGTGATAGCACAGCGGCTAGGGCATTTACCTTGCATGCAGCAGACCTGGGTTCAATTCCTTCGCCCCTCTCAGAGAGCCTGGTGGGCTACCAAGAGTATCTTTCCCACATGGCAAAGCCTGGCAAGCTACCCGTGACGTATTCAATATGCCAAAAACAGTAAAAACAAGTCTCACAATTTGTTGTGAGACATTACTGATGCCCGCTCAAGCAAATCGATGAACAATGGGAGGACAGTAACTGTTAATAGTAACAGTATATTTTACTGTTCCAGTTCAGAATATTCACCTCCTATCCCATTTGTCTATTTAGAAAAGGAAATAATTAGCAGTTCAGTGTTAAGCAAATAGTCATAAAAGTTAATGGAGTGAAGCTGCACGATGTGTTTAGAACACTATCTAGGGTGACGTTTATTTTCACAAACGTATCACTTAGAAATGCAAGAATGGTAGGTGAGGATTATTCATTACACTAAAATTAATTATCTTTTGCTACAAAACCATTTTAGTGACTTATAAATGAGATAGAACTATAATGTTATATACCAGAAGTCTAGGACACAACTATAGGTCTTTTGTACTTGGTATCACAAATCTGCAGTATAGTTGTTGACTGGGCTATGGTCTCATCTGGAAGCTAGACTGGAGAAGGCTCTTCCAAGCCAATTCCAGTTGAAGTTGGAATTCATTTCTTTATGGTTATCGAATGAGAGGCCTAGGACTTCACCGGCTCTTCCTTTGAAGCTGCTCTCAGAAAGTATGCAGCCATTGTCTGATTATTCAGAGACTTGCAATATTGATAATTAATATTATTATTTTAAATAATATCTGCAATTTCCTTCTGACTATGTTTAAATCCTTGAAGGTACAACAGCACACAGACTCTGGGTTCAAATGCCTTAGCACTTAGGCTGCTCTGGAATTTGGCTGGCACCATGCCACTATTTCCATGGGTGCTAGTCATTTTTCCCTAGATCACTCTGGTTGTTAGGTTTCCCCTTGGAGGCACTGTGTTCTACTTTTCTTTGTACAGGTAAGTAATATCTCTCTCCTGGATCAAATTGCTTCATTGTAACAAGAACACATTTAATTTAAAAAATAACTGTACATTCCCTCTGCTTCTGGAGATCCTGCTCATAGCTTAAGTTACTTTGAACCCCAGCCTTCCAGGCATTTCTGTCATTTAGAAGTTCTGGCCTTAGTTGTTTTGCTCCTGACGCTTAGCACAGAAGCTTCATCCACTTCCTGCAGAATCCAAGCTGGCAGAGGATTAATTATTTCTTCAGTCTGAGCTAGAGCATGTCAGATGCTGCTCTTAGAAGGATGTAGTCTTGGGTCTGGAGCGATAGCACAGCGGGTAGGTCATTTGCCTTACATGCAGCCGACCCGGGTTAAATTCCCAGCATCCCCGATGGTTCCCCGATCACCGGTGGAGTAATTCCTGATTGCAAAGCCAGGAGTAACCCCTGTGCATTGCTGGGTATGAACCAAAAAGAAAAAAAAAGAAGAAGGATATAGTCTCTAGAGCAGCTGAGGTAGCAAGATGTAGTCTTCCATAGTGAAACAGAGGCATTTCATCCCACTGATGCTGCCATAAACATTTTCAGGTCCTCTTCATCCACAAGTAATGGAATCTTACCGGAAGGAAGGCAAGGATGACAGAGATGCCACCTTGTCTCTGGTTTTCCACATGGCCCCAAATGCGCTAATATGAAACTTCATATAATATTACTAAATGTAGTTTTAATCTATGGTTTATACAGAAACATTAATGAATTTGATCACACTCATGGCCTTATACTGCTGTTGATGTGAGCACTTGATTTGATGCAGAAATTTTCATCCATTTTATTCATGTGAACCATCAATATCCAGAACTGGTTGTTGAAAATGACTGACTATGAGCACATGTATTGATCACCTTTTAGAACTAGAAAAATATTCTAAATTCTAATACATTTGACCTTACAAGTTTTAGAGAGAGTTAGTGAGCTGTATTCATATATGAAATTGTATATTAGTAATAGTACAAAGTGCACAAAAGGAATTTCTCTGTTTGATTAATTTAAGAAAAAGCAAGATTTATGTAAGTCATTTCCATGCCACACTGAGTTGATTTGTGTACTTTACCCATTGTGCAGGTATTAAAACATGGCCACACTTCTTTAGTAAAATTTCCTTCTAATGAGGTATTGCTTGTTCTTTTAAAAACTGTCATCATTGATATTTTTCTAAATAACATGATTTCTAGATATTGATTACCATGAAAGAGTATAAATAGGAAGACATTAAATAACTTATGAATTTTTTCTAGTGCTCTGTAAATCAACTCTCCAAATAACAGGGGATCGGTGTGCTTCTGGATTTGTACAGATTTAATTCATTTTATTTATTGTTTGGGATTTAGCATCCAACATGGCAGTACTATTTCTGGTTCTGTGCTTGGCAGTATTCTATGGTTTTACATGGAGGAACAATGTTGGTGCCAAGCATTGAATTGGGCTGTGTTTAAGGCCAGTTCCTTATCTGATTACTATCTTTTTGCTCCCTGTACAAAATTTTATTTGTAGAATGTACCCTTCTATAACATCATTACCTTTATTTATTTATGCTTTTTGGGTCACACCCAGAGATGCACAGGAGTTACTCCTGGGTCCGCACTCAGGAATTACTCCTGGGGGTGCTCAGAGGAACATATACAATGCTGGGGATCGAACCCAGGTCAACTGCATGCAAGACAAATGCCCTACCTGCTGTACTATCACTCCAGTCCTCAGCATCATTACCTTTAAGCTAGCTCATACTCCCACAGGTGTATCATGATTACCCCTGTGATGGTGCACTGGGCTCTTGGGTGCTATAACAATGCTGTTGAACTCTCTAGTTCTGCAGCCTGCTGTCCTGCAGCTCTTGTTTTGAAGGAAATAGAGTTATGTCAGCATTGTTGTTTGAGCCAATTGCCAGGCTACTGGTGTGAAAAAAGCAGCATGCATACCCACCAGCTATAAAAATATAATCAATTTGCTTGTGCTCAGTGCTCTGATATTAGCACAGCATTATGTGTTGGACCTTCTGCTATTAGTCTTTCCATAGCAAACATTCATTCTTTCTGTAGAGGTGAGGAAAGTAAGACCCAGAGGGTGAAGTAACTATTGTATATTGCACCAACAGAAATGGGTGCATTTGAACACAGGTTGGCTTTATGTACAGCAAACCATGTTTTCCAGTGTTTTTTGACTTTGTTTGTTGACTTTTTTTGCAGTCAACGTGACTCTGGATCCAAAAACAGCTCATAGAGACCTATTTGTGTCTAAGGATGGGAAAAAGGTGACCGGTGGCTGTCTCCAGAAGAAGCGGCTCTCTGCCAGTAGATTTACTTCCATACCCTGTGTCCTGGGGTATGAAAGATTTAGCTCAGGAAGACATCACTTTGAAGTAGATGTGGGAGGAGAAAGTAAATTGTGTGGGTTTGGAGTTTGTCTGGCCGATGTGCTAAGAGACATTAATATGAAGCTAAAGCCTGAGTGCGGATTCTGGGCCATCAGACTCTGCTCTGACAGAGGCTTACAAGCTCTTACCTGGCCACGAACCTCCCTTCACCAGGAATATCTCTCGGTTGTAGGGGTTTTTGTGGACTATGAGGCTGGACTTGTCTCCTTTTACAACATGGAAACTGGTTTCCACATCTTCACTTTCCCCAAGGCTTCCTTCTCTCACCCTCTCCGGCCTTTTTTTCTGGTCTATTCATCTTCTTCTCTGACCTTGTCTCCACCAGATATGTTGGTAAAGAAGCAAAGTCCCCTCCACTGACTATCCAGGAAAGAAGATCTGAGGGTTAATCCTTAGGGACAAACTCTTCACTTATATTCCTTACTACTTTTTTCATGTACCAAGAGAACAGGGATGAGCTTTGGCCTGCTTCATAGTCTGCATTAAATTAAATTTATACGAAGATTGAATATATGGCCACCAATAAGCCTGAGCTGAGAGAAAGCCTCCCAAGGCAGTACTCATGGCTTCTCCTGCATAAACTGCTTCAATGACTTTAGAACTTCAAATGCTTCAGAGAGGAGAAATCAGAGGGCAGGAGAGATAGTGGTGGGGCACTTGCCTTACACTCTACCTATCTCCATCCCATTGTTTGCATCACATATGGTTGTCTAGGACACAGACTTGTCCTGGGAGAAATCCGGAGTGTGCAGAGCAGGAATAGTAAGACTGTTGAAGTCAGGGGCGGGGGCAGTATCTCTGCACTTGTGGAGCCTGACTTGCTTATGCCCCAGGAATGGCCTGGAAGTCACTCCCAGAACAGAGTGTGGATCCAAAACTAGCAGGACCCTAGAGTGCACATAAGCACCCTCGTCTAGCAGGGAGGTACTCCACCGAGCAGGTCCATCTGGGGAATAGCCCACCCAGATTCCTACTTAGTCAAGAAAGACATTATTATTAAGCTGAATGATCAGAATCAAGACAAGGCTCTATAAACAGAGCCGACTTCCCATTGTCAAAGCCTCTTTTTTTCAGTATTAATGTATATTTTGTTAGTTTGATTTACAGGGTTGTAGTCAGAGAACCTAGGATGGAAGGGGGAAAAGCTTTCTGGAGTCATTTGTTTTCTGTTCCCCACAGTGCATTCTCATGGAACCTCTGGGTTCTCAGATCTCTGGGGTGTGTGAGATTGACCTTCTTACTGTGCTCAAAATGGATTGTTCTCAGCCTCATGTCTCCTTCCAGTGTCCTGCTGACCTGTCTCTCTTAAGTGTGCTTGGAGACCTGCAGGGCTCAGGGTAGATGACTCTGCTCAGAGAAAATTCCTACCCTCAGCATTTGGGTTTATTTAATTTTGTACAACAATACTATCAGTCAAATATTACTGTAACCAATTACCTACTGTATAATAAAACTTTTTAAAGCATTGCTATATTAAAGAATCAGATTCTAAAAAAGAACAAGGGGCTGGAGGAATAGCACAGCTGGTAGGTCGTTTGTCTTGCATGTGGCCAACCTCGATTAGATTCCCAGCATCTCATATAGTTCCCTGAGCACCTCTGGGGTAATTTCTGAGTGTAGAGCCAGGAGTAACCCCTGTGTATTGCCAGGTGTGACCCAAAAGCAAATAAATAAATGAATAAATACATAAAGAGTTAATTGCAGGTTAAAAATGATAATTCAATGTACCTTATGGTTTCTGGTCTGATGTTGAGGTCTTTAATCCATTGTGATCTTACTTTTGTACATGGTGTTAGGCAGAATTCTGAGCCCACTTTTTTGCATGTAGCCGTCCAGCGATGCCAGCACAATTTATTAAAGAGACTTTCCTTACTCCACTTCACATTACTTGCACCTTTATCAAAGATTAGATGATCATATGATTGAGGGAAGATGTCAGTGTATTCAACCCTGTTCCATTGGTCTGCAACTCTGCCTTTGTTCCAGTACCATGCTGTTTTAATTATTAGTGCTTTGTAGTAGAGTTTGAAGTTAGGGAGGTTGATTCCTCCCATTTTTTTCCCCCAATAATTGCTTTAGCTATTCGTGGGGGCTTATTGTTCCATATAAATTTCAGGAGTGTTTGCTCCATTTCTTTGAAGAATGTCATGGGTATCCTTATAGGGATTGCATTGAATTTATATGATGCTTTCGGTAGTGTTGCCATTTTGACAATGTTAAGTCTCCCGGCCCATGAGCAGGGGATATCTTTCCATTTCCTCATGTCCTCTTTTATTTCCTGAAGTAGCGTTTTGTAGTTTTCTTTGTACAGGTCCTTTACTTCCTTAGTTAAGCTGATTCCTATGTACTTGATTTTCTGGGGAACAATTGTGAATGGGATTTTTTTTTTCATGTAGCTTTCTTCTCTCTCACTGTTTGAGTATAGGAAAGCCATGGACTTTTGGGTATTGATGTTATAGCCTGCAACTTTACTATATAAGTCTATTGTTTGTAAGAGTTTTTTGGTGGAGGTTATTGGGTTCTCTAAGTATAGTATCATATCATCTGCGAATAGTGAGAGCTTGATTTCTTCCTTTCCTACCTGAATGCCCTTAATATCTTTTTCTTGCCTAATCGCTATTGCAAATATTTCCAGTAATATATTGAACAGCAGTGGAGATAGTGGTAATCTTTGTCTCATTCCTGATCTTAGAGGGAAGGCTCTCAGTTTTTCCCCATTGAGGATGATGCTTGCTGTAGGCTTGTGGTAGATGGCTTTAACTATGTTGAGGAAAGTCCCCTCTATACCCATTTTGGCTAGGGTTTGCAAAACCCTCCATGACATTGAAGCTAATGGTATCTTCAAAGACGCCACACCACTGGCCAAGCAAGTGAAAACAGAGATAGATAAATGGGACTATCTTTAACTTAGAAGCTTCTGCACCTCCAAAGACACAGTGACCAAAATACAAAGAGAGTCTACAGAATGGGAAAGGATATTCGCCGAACACACATCTGAAAAGGGGTTGATATCAAGGATACACAAAATACTGGTTGAATTCCACAAGAAGAAAACATCCAACCCCATCAAAAAATGGGGCAATGAAATGAACAGAAACTTTCTCAAAGAAGAAATCCGAATGGCAAAAAAGCACATGAGAAAATGCTCTACATCATTAATTATCAGGGAGATGCAGATCAAAACCACAATGAGATACCATCTCACACCTCAGAGACTGGCCCACATCCAAAAGAACAAAAGCAACCTATGCTGGTACAGATGTGGCGAGAAAGGGACACTCTTTCACTGTTGGTGGGAATGTCGACTAGTTCAGCCTTTATGGAAAACAGTATGGACGATTCTCAAAAAGTTAGAAATTGAGCTCCCATTTGACCCAGCAATACCACTCCTGGGAATATATCCCAGAGAGGCAAAAATGTATAGTCGAAGTGATATTTGCACTTGTTTGTTCATTGCAGCACTCTTTACAATAGCCAGAAACTGGAAGAAACCTGAATGCCCAAGAATAGATGACTGGTTAAAGAAACTTTGGTACATCTACACAATGGAGTACTATGTAGCTGTTAGAAAAGATGAAGTCATGAAATTTATATACAAGTGGTACAACATGGAATGTATCATGCTAAGCGAAATGAGTCAGAAAAAGATGGATAGACATAGAAAGATTGCATTCATCTGGGGAATATAAAGAAACAAAATATGAGATTAATACCCAAGAATAGCTGAGATCAACACCAGGAGGATTACTCCATAGCTTAGAGGCCAGCCAGGCATTCTAGGGGAAAGGGCAGCTCAGATAGAGAAGGGAGCACCAAATAAAGGGTGTTTGGAGGATCCTCCCAGGAGGGGAGACGCATGTTGAAAGTAGACTATGGACTGAACATGTTTGCCACTCAAAGCCTCTTTTGCAGACCACAACACCCAAAAGGAGAGAGAGAACACAGGGGATTGCCCTGCCACAGAGGAAGGGTGAGATGGGAGGGATGGGGGTGTGAGGGATATTATCCATGGTGGTGGAAAATGGGCACTGGTGGAGGCATGGGTATTTGATCATTGTATAATCGAAACCCAAGCACAAAAAATTGTAAATCTACAACTGTACCTCATGGTGTTTCACTAAAAATAATAAAAAAATGATAATTCAAATAAAAAATTTTGTTACTAAAAATCAGCAAAATCAATCTTTTTTTGTCTTCTTGGACCACACTCAGCTATGTCCAAGTTACTCCCGGCTCTGCACTCAGGAATTACTTCTGGGTTTGCTTGGGGGACCATTTGGGATACCAGGGATTGAACCCAGGTCAGTGCATGCAAGGCAAACACCCTACTTGCTGTACTTATCATTCCGGCCCACAAAATCAACTTTTGGAAACAAATGATCAGCACAGCAAAGTAAGAAATGAAAATGGATTGGAGTACAGGTAATTTATAGAAAGAAAGCCAAGTTTCTCCCAGGTACTCAAGTGGAAAATGCCACTGTATTAGATGAGTCACAGTCACGGTCACAGTATTCCCATTATTCATTGATTTTCTCCAGCAGACCCAGTAATGTCTCCATCGTGAGACTTGTTGTTACTGTGTTTGGCATACTAAATATATCATGGGTAGCTTTCCAGGCTTTGCTGTGCGGGCAAGATACTCTCTGTAGCTTGCCGGGCTCTCCGAGAGGGGCAGAGAAATCCAACTAGGGTCAGACATGTGGGCCGCTTGCAAGACAAACGCCCTACCCTCTGTGCTATCGCTCCAGTTTAATTTTTATAATAAAGAGGCTTTACCAGAGCATATATAGAAATAAGCCCTAAATATTGAAAATGCATATATTGGACATTGTGGAATTAATGCCAAATTAAGTGCAAATGCATCAGAAAACCCTGGTTCCAGATGTCCAAATCCCGTTGATTTCTTTTTTATGCTAAATATGCACTAGCTGAAGCCTCCTGTCTCTGCAACCTGTTGTGGGGGTATTCCAGATAGAATTTGAGAGGCACATGGGTGTGAGGGATGCTCATCCACACACTAGTGAGATGGTTCTAGCTCAGAATCTGAACAAGAGTAAATCATAAAAGTTCAAGTGTTCCATCATCAAGGTGCATAGAGGGAGCACAGAACACTCCACATTTTGTCACCATGATGAGACATTTTCTATGTAGCAGCCCTGAGCCGGTGACTCTGAACATACATTCCTTTTGGATAGCTGCCTTAGCAGGCATGTCACCCTGTCGTTATTGTTTCTTTGTGTCTGGTTTTCTTTCTGGTATTGGCTCACACCTGATTTTACTCAGGGATCATTTCTGGCTTTCCACATGTGGTACTGGGGATCGAATTTGTATTGGTGGCATGCAGGACAAGTACCCTCCATCCTG